CTTTTTGAACTTGAATTAGATGTTTGCTAAAATGTATCACTTTAAATTCTGTCTAAAACTTACTTTTTTTATCTTTGTCACTCTGTGAATCTTTCTGGATCATTTCTTTTAGTCTATCATTCAGTTCACTAACTCTCTCATCAGCCCTGCCTAATCTGCAAACAACTTCATTTCTGACTTTTAAGTTTCAGTTATATTTTTCATTTCTAGAAAATGCTTTTTATTTGTGTTCAACTTTTCTCATTATTTATTCATATTTTAAGTTCTCTGTAATTTATTAAAAGTAAGTGAACATATTTGTTTTATAGTTTGTGTCTATGTATTCAAAGTTCTAAAGCCTTATGGATATGACAGCTTTTATTATCTCCACAGAATATTTTTCATGATATTTTGTTTCTTGTTCACTTTGGAAATTACTTTATTCTGAAATTTCAACTTTCTGGAACTTATTTATTAGAAGTATTTCAGTTATAGGTTGTAAGTAGCTTTTTTGAAAAAAAGTACTTCTAATAGAGAAGGCTAGGCCATTATCAATCAAAGATCACTTTTCTCAAATTCTCAGTTGTGGATTTTTGATCCTTTAGGCAAAATTCATAACCACTAAATCTATAAATTGAGAATATTATGGTTTCTCCTTGAGAAAATTAATACTGTGTTCATAAAGGATAAAAACTCTAAGGAGGGCTTGTATTGGGGTGGCTGTGGCAGTGGTGGCTAGAAGTGAGACATCAGCTCTCATTCACCCTCATCATGAGAGTACAGTGTTCTGGGTATGGAGGTCTCACTGGACTCATTTCCATAAGTGGTCCTTTGGTCTTGGTTCCTATTGTCTGAGCCATTCAATACCTCATAAATTAAATTTTTAAGTTCACTTACACCAATAAATCTGTGCCTCCACTTCTTCACTTATGTAATAATAATAAAATATATTCAATAAAAAATACTCAGTGTCATTAGTTAATGTATATAAGGAATTTGCATAACATCTGGAAAATTATAAATGTTCAATAAATGTTCATTTGCAGCATCAGCAGTAACATTACACAAATAATGCAAATGGCCATTATGGTTTAAGGAGCCCTGGGCTGATAGTTGATCTGAGACAAAGCCAATCTCAGTCTTTTACTTTAACAGATTCAATGACATGATAGAGGCAGAATTCTAGTGATAGTTCAAGGCTGATTGTGAAGTAAGAAATTGGAAGCAATGATTGTAGAAAAAATTTTCTGAGGAACTAAACTGTGAAAATAGATATGGCAATTATGGAGAGAGTTTCAGAAGTGAGTATAGAATAACAGAAGAGTTTAGTTTTATTTTAGTAAGAAAGAGATAGATGTCTAATATGCTGTTGAGGTAAAGGTTAAAAGTACAGAGATAAATAGAGCTGATGAAGCATTAAATGAAGAATAAATGTGAGAGATTAGGTCAAGGAATAAGTGCCTTCAGTGGGAGAGAAGAGTCAGCTTATTTCTGTGACATTTAAAGAAAGACTATAAGTGCAGATATAGATATTTTAAAAGTTATAGGATGAAAAGTGGAGCTTTTTCACACTGATATTCTTAATTTTAATGTAAATTGCAGTTTCCTAATCTCTAAAGGAGGCTTTGAAAAAATATGTGCTTTGAAGAAAAGGGAAAATTTTTGGAGTGAGAGAACACACAGCAAAAAATTTTCAAAAACAAAGGCACAGTTGAACTCAGACCATGGACTCAGAGAAATGTTAGTCTGCCTGATTATTTAATTTCTTCCATCATTTTTTAGTTACCTAGTAGTAGGTTGGTGATTAAATTGATTTAAGAAGAGGAAGTCCCAGGTGTTGTTACTACTAACATTACTGACAACATACTGATGATAGAGTTTTATGTTTTTTGTGAAAAAAAAGATCCAGGAAGCATGCTTTTGTTTGAAAAATCATATATCTCATTTTCACAGTTTGCTACAAATGTACTGTGAAAAAATAATAGAAGAAATAGGTATTTCTGAGTTATAATTAATTCCATATCCAAACTCTGTATTAAGCAATTATTTATTTCAGGGAAAGTATGTTTTAAAAGCACCTTAGCCATTAAGATAAAATATCATGATTTTGTGGTTATCATAATTCAATAAATTAGCAATACGGTAAATTAAAATTGCTTTTTTTCATTGTAATTGAAGTTAATCAGCAAGAACTTTGCAAACAAGCTTAATGTACAAGACAATCACAATGATTATATTGCAACAACCTTTTCTTTTCTAAGTGTGATTGTTGTGTTACAGGGTATATTATAAAATGTAAATGCACTTATATGTAGAATCTAAAGAACAAAATAAGCTGACAAAATATAACCAGAGGCATGGATACATGGAACAGACTGACTGCTGTCATAAGGGAGAGAGCTTGGGGGACTGGATGAAAGAAGGTGAAGGGATTAAGCAAAAAACTATATATACACACACAAATATAAAACATAGACACAGACAACAGAGTGGTGATAGCCAGACAAAAAGGGAGTGGGGGGGCAAAGTGGAGATAAATGGGGACAGAAACAGACTGCTTTGGGCTATGGGCAGACAATGCAGTGTACAGATGTTTTGTTGAGTTGTATGCTTGAAACCTATGTGGTTTTGTGAACCAATGTCTCAACAATAACTCAGTTTAAAAAAAATAATTTACTAAACATAAAAATATATAAACATTTAGAATAACACAACACAAAATTGAGTAAAAGAAGTCAAACAGAAAACAGAACATATATTATGATCCCCTTAAAATAAAGTTAAACATTAGGCATAACCAGTCGATGGTGTTATAAATCATGATAGTGTTTTCCTGGGGAAACTAGAAGGTCGGGAAGAATATTCTGAAATGCTGATAATGTTTTATTTCTTTTTTAAAAATGTTATTTATCAATGTCAGAGAGAGAGGGACAGAAAAGGGGAGAGAGAGACATCAACCTGTTGTTTCACTTCTTTATGCATTCATTGGTTGCTCCTTGTACATTCCCTGACCCATGACTGAATTCACAATTTTGATGTTCTAACCAACTGAGCTATGCAGCCAAGGCAATGTTTCATTTCTTGATGCAAGTCTTGTGGATGTGTATATTTTGCAAACAATTTTTGAGCTGAGTACTTAAGATTTGTACTTTTTGCATGTCTGTTATATTTTAGTATGTTTGCATTATCAGTAAAAAATTTATTTTGGGGGAAATGTCAGTTAAAGGATAATATTCAACTAAGTCTTTAATTGGGTTGGCATTAGTCCCCAATTTGCTCATAGTATGTAAAGAAATGCTTTTGGTTACTTGATTCAAACTCTGATTTTAACTTTAGAACTCTTTAGTTCTTATGCTATGCTTTGTTAAATGAATAACATCTCTGGGGTTGAAAGATGAAAAAATATGTTCTTTTCTTTGTTCTTTTTTCCTGTTAAGTAATAATATGATCTTATGTTGAAATCTAATTAACATTTCTCTAATGCCAAAACTAAGCTGTGCCTTTATGTAATCCATACCGATCATCTCAAGCAATGAGCTGGCAGTTAGAGCTTGTCCTATTCTAAAGTTGCGAATTTTAGCTTCTTAGAAAATTCAAGAAATATTTTATTCTTAAGTGAAATATCTAGATTGTTTAAATTACCTTGACTAACAGGTGAATAGAGTTTTCCTGAAATGTTTTACTGGTTAAACACATATATCAAATTTAAAGCTAGGGAGTCAGACTATGCTGTGCCTTAATACACATTTATATTGTTTACTATTATTGTCATTATTTTTATCCCAACTTCACTACTTACTATGCAGGCTTTGGCTATATAAATTTAATTAAAATTAAACCAAATTAAATTTCAATTCCTTAGTCATATTAGCCTCATTTCAAATATTCAATAGTCATATGCATTCAGTGGCTACTGTGTTAGACGGAGCATAAGACATTTTCAGAAACTTTCATTGGACAACACTAATATATTGTTAATACAATAATATGTTTCTCAGCAAATTTATTAAATAATAATATTTTTGTAGAATTCTTAGCATTGTGATGGCAAATCATAAGTACTTAATGTGTGATATTTAATCATATCATTGGTTAAACTAAGAATAACCAAATAATAAATAATAATAAAAACATAAAGATTACATATTTAGTATCATGAATAGGATATACATAGCTTGGCATAGATTCACTAAGACTCTGTCAATCATTTTACTTCCAAATATTTCACCATAAGACAATTCTCAGATTGTCCTTGTGAAAAATCTCCCTGAAGTAGAAATTTATGTATGTGTGCAACTTAATTTTAAACACACACAAACATATAACATGTTCTAAGCAACTATTTACCTTTTAAATATTCTAAATGTTAAGAAACTGTAACCTGTAGTCTGTAAGTGACTACTACCAGGAACAAATCTGGTTAATTAGGGTAGGGAATAATGAAAAGAAGAACTTGGGTTAGTATTGTAACCCTCTCTAATTGTTATATGGTGTTTACTAATTAGAATATTTATGTGTCTCTGGTTTTACTGGTTGAATGTTCTGGATTTCAGTTTGCTTTACTGTCATTAGAGATATTTTACTGCCTTTTTTTTTATTGTTGCCCTTTTAGGAAATGGGTTAGATAAAAAAAAAAACACAAAAACATGTATGCCTTTACACAAGAAAATGGTTAAACAATGAATCCTTTCCTTAAGCCAATTTGGATTATAGCCCAGAGCTGAACCCATCTGTCATACAATCAAAACACTTGATCCATCGAGTGAACTCTGTTAGTGTCTATATCATTTTACTCACAGTTCAGTAGTTATTATTTTAATGATAACCATTCAATACTGTGGGCATAAAGTCTACAAGTCTACCTAAAACATCCAGAAAAATAAATTTTGAGGAGGGCTTTTCTATTTTTTGTATTATTATTACAGAAGGAACATTGGTCTTACATACAGAAATAAGCCCTTCAATGAGGGTCATTTTTTTTTCTGATCATTTATAACCTGTGTTTTTTTTTCCCCTCTTAGGCTACTGATAAAGATACTGGCAATTATAGTGCCATGGCGTATAGACTTATAATCCCACCAATCAAAGAAGAAAAAGAAGGATTTGTAATCGATACATATTCAGGGCTTATCAAAACTGCTATGCTCTTCCATAATATGAGGAGGTCCTACTTCAAATTTCAAGTCATCGCAACTGACGACTATGGGAAGGGACTAAGCGGCAAAGCAGATGTACTTGTAAGTAAATAAATCTTCATGTAAGGGGTACATGCCGTACTAGACTGGAGTCAGATTTTTCAACTGATAGAACTTTTAAATTTATTTGAAATAGGCTTTCTAAAATACAAATATGATTAATTTTCATCTGGATTGTTGATAGCTATAGTTTAGGATATAAAATATATACATATAAGTTGCTGATTTTTTGACATTTGAGAAATATGTCCCATGTTTTATATATGATTGTGACAACAATGTCATTAGCATTGGATTTCTTTTTGGTCTGTAGATCTTATTTTTGGTATATATTAAGCTGGAACTACTTCAAATTTTAAAATGCTTTATAGAGATAAGCTGTAGAAATTAAAGTAATTTGTATTATTATTTAAATTACATTTAGGCCTTCTGTAATTAAGAAAACAAAAGGAAATAGTTTGGAGCAAGTTCATGTTCCAATGGATGTTTATTTGTTTTACCAAAAGTCCCATTGATGGCGTTAATGATCTGTGACTGTTATATTTGACTTCAGTCAATAATATCACTTATCTTTTTCTTCATAAGCTCAGTGGTAAATTATTCCCAAGAGCAATTTGCTACTAACATTTATTCAAAATATTGAACACCAGTGCATATATTCCATGGAATCTCTATCATTATTTGGACATTTCTGTGATGAATCTGGTAAAAATTATAAGAATAATTATTATTGGAAATATTATCACTTAAAAAATAGAATCAAGTATAATTTTCATTTGTTCTTTACATCTTATTAAACTTTCATTTTTTATGGTTTTCATCATTTAGTTCCCTGGAGAAGTTTAACCTTAATATATATGCAGACATCAATGATATTTTGTTTTGAGATAATGGTGAAGACCAATCACCATGATTGCATGGGCCAGAACATTTTCATTTATAACAATAAAGCTGCATAGAATAAACAAAGGCCAATCTAATCCAAGAGTTTTTGACATAGAAGTTACTAAGGTTGACATAGATTTTTAATCAAATTAATACCTGTAAACATTATGGAAAATAATGTTATTTCTCTTTTGGTTATTTAAGGTATGCACATTGTGGTATTTTAAGGCTAAAAGATAAGTATAATTAAGGTATAATTAAAATATTATAAAAATAAATGTAACTATATAGGTTATATATGTTATATACATGCACATAAGCAATGTGAAGTTTATGGGATTTGTATTTGACCTCTATAAACTCTTGTGTGGAAATTATGAAGTATACCTTTAAAATTATCCAAAATATACTAAGAAGAATTAAATTCAAAAAAATCATAATTGTCTATATTTACACATCACTATTTATAAATATAAATCCCAGCAAATGCTACTTGTAAGATCTGAAATCCTTTATGTCAAGAAAAAGGAGATATAAAGAGAAATAAAACTTTTATGCAGAGGGACAACAATGCACCAAAACCAAGAAGGAAGAAAATGATGGTGGGTCTGAGTAGCTGATAGATACTTACTCAATTTGGAAGATTGAGAGAAGGAAAAAGAATAAGAGACAGGGCTGAAGATTGAAGTAGGTGATCCATGTAAAAGCTGTAAAATTATTATTAAAATTATCAGAACTTTTGCCTAAAAGCAACAAGAAATCATTTATATTGTAAATTTTTAGTAAGGGTGAGCAAAGATAAGATTTTCAATTTAGATAAAACCTTCTTGCTTGATATAAATCTGGTTCTCCTGTGAGGATGCTACTTCTGCCTTCCAAAATAATGGTTCTTGTGTTCTGTTCTTCATTTGTTTCTCACAGTCTTAATAATACTACTGGCAAAGTAAGATTCTCAGTGTACTGCATTGCTACTTGTAGATGTTTCCTCCATCCTAAGAATCCATTCTTGATTCTCAAAATCTGACTCTGTCCCTCACTCACTGCCTCACAACATTGCTGTGATCACCCAAATCTTTGGTCAATTCCAAACATATTTCAGTGAGGATAGCTCTTGAGTTACTAATTCCCCTATCCTAATTTTTGACAATTTTGCTATATGCAGAGCTGACTCTTCCAGTATCCTGAGCTCACTATTTCCTTCAATGCCTTTCCTCTAATGGCTTTACTGTCCACACTATTACAACCACTTAATGACCAGAGTTATTTTAGCCATTACCAATTACTGCAACCCCTCTATAAACTCCATTCCAAACCTCCCACTCTTTGACAGTAATATTGAATGCTTTCAGCTAGCTCCAGCACTCATTTGTTCTCTTTGGGCCTTTAATTTGTTTAGCCTGCTATATTTTTACCCTTCCTCTAACCCCATGTTCTCTTTCCTGCTTACCAGTTTTGTAGTGCATTAACAATTATTACAAGCACTCAATCACATAGACATTCAACTCCTTTGCCATTTCTTCCAACATCATACTCACTTAGCAAAACCATAACTCTAGTTAATTGCAACTTTCTCCTTTCTCCTATGCTTAATATATCTGCAAAACATATGCAATTGTATAATTAGTCTTGCTTTAAATTAGTGATGAAATCCCCCAAGTGACTTCTTATATTGTCCAGTGACCACATATTTCCTGGTTCATTTGCACTCCTCCTCTCCTAAAAGAATGTGTCTCTTACAGTCTTCAACATCTCCTCAACCTCACTAATTAATTGCTTAATTAATTGGCAACATATTGCATTGAAAGATAAAATTAAGGCATTTAGAAGGATACTTCTACAGTTCCTGTCACTATCTACCTACCTATCAGGATTTACACTGACATCCTTTGCCTTATTTCCTATTTTTTAGATGAATTCTCTATGCATTTATCTGGAGTCATTACCTCCACCTATGCAACAGATCCAAATCCCACTCGCCAGCTCCAGAACACTGTTTCAACAGCTCTCCCATTGCTTACATATATCATTATTATCAGTCTCCCTTCCTTTGTTTGATTATTCCCATAACCATGCATGATCATGCTTTTATGTTTTTTTATGTTCGAAAATAATATAAAATATTTTTACCCATATCTCCTTCTAGCTGCCACTCTATTCTATTCCTTTTTCAAGAAAAGCCATCGATTATCACAGTTGACCAGTTTTTCACCATTTAATCACTTTAAAGCTCTCTCTAATCATAATGTGACTTCTAACACTTATTTAAACTTATTAAGTCAACATCAATTGCTTCTTGTTACTAAACAGCCTAGTAATTTCAGTATTCTTATTTGAACCTTCAGTAGCACTTGACTGCTTACCTTTACTAGGCTTGGAAGCCATTTTTCTCTATTGGTCATCTCTTACCCCACTATTTATTCGTTCTTAGTTCTTTTGTTGGTTCAGTTTCTTCTCCTGACCTTTTAGTATTGATGTTTCTTAGGGCTCAGACTTTAATTCTTTTTTATGTTTGTACTCATTGATTCAATAAACTCATTCAGTACCATAACTTTAAAATATTATCTATATACTGAAACGTTAAATTTATATCTTCACCCCAAAGCTCATTTCTAAATAGTGGATTCATATATCTATTTGTGCATGTATCAGTTGCATGTGAATATCTAATGAAGATATCTATTTAATGTTTCCCAAACTGAACTCCCCTTCCTTATCACATTTCTTTCATGTATAGCCTTACTAGCTTCACTTAATGACTAAATCATCTTTGAGTTCCCTAGGCCCAAAATTTTTTGATTCCTTTTAATTCTAAACCACACATTCAAATCCCTTAGTAAATAATTTTTGTTACTATATAGGTATAATATATATTATATATGTAAATATATATAATATATAATATAATATAATATATATAATATAATACAATACAATATAATATAATATATATAATATAATACACACACACATATACATACATATATATATATATATATATATATATATATATATATATATATATATAAACTGCACAGTTTTTCAACATTTCTACTGTTACAACTTAGTGGAAACCACCATCATATTTTACCTATATCATTGTATAAGCTCATTATTTGCCCTTGTGTTCCTACTCTTGCTTCACTAAAGTCTGGTTTTAATATAACAGCCTGTGATTTTAATGTAATCCAGGTCCTGTGATTTCCTAGCTCAAAACATTCTAATATCATACTAATTTACTCAAGGAATTTTTCAAGTCATTATATAAGACTATGAGGCCCTCCATAATTTGGCATCCAACAGCCTCATCTTCTATTCTTCTCCCTCTAATTCACTCAAATCCAATAATATTGGCCAAGTTGATTTTCTTCAAACAGGCAGACATGCTCTTAGAGATTTTGCAGTGACTCTGCCTAGAATGCTCCTCCAAATGTTGTACCATGGTGTAGTATCAAAGAATACACATTCACCTCACAAGGCTCTTAAAATACCTCTTACTTTTCAAAGTGAGATTGCACTAGAAACCATTTAAGAGAGACAATGACCAGTCCATAAAAGAAATGATGAAGGGCTCTAGAGCTCTAGAGGGCCTCTTGAGGGTCCAGTTTGTTAGCTATTTGTCATATGTAGCTACTGAGCACTTGAAATGTGGCTAGATTGCATTAAGATGTATGATAAGTATACAATACACACTGGATTTCAAAGTCAGCATAAAAAATGTTGACTACATGTTGCAATGATAACATAGTGAATATACAGGGTTAAATGTATTATTGAATTAATTTTACTTTTTGTCTTTTTTATTTGGGGTACCAGAAAATTTAAAATTATATATCTGGTATGTATTTGTGGCTCAAATTATATTTCTATTGAACAATACTGTCTAAGTTATATGGGAACAAATGGAAGAAAAAAGAAAGATAAAATGTTTATGATGAAGAATTAAAAGAGAGTAAAATACGTAAATTGACAATCTTGTTTTACAAATCTGTGCTCCACAAATGTTACTTGTCACAAGTGTATTTTTGTGGCAGACTTTCCTACAAGTCAGCAAGGCAAGTGTTTGGCTTGCTGCCTGCTGAGCAACCCAGCACCAAGGAATGGACCAAAGTCACACACAGTAACTACACTATTCACTCAGCTTTTATTAAGTGCAGGTTTACTCAAAGTAGAACATCAACATACATTAATATCCTTTCACACTCTAACAATTTAAGAGAAATATCACACACACACAGAGCAACCAATGGGGGATAACAAACTTGAGTCCCAGAGTCTCAGTCTGCAGGTCCAGGAGACAACACGGTGGCCAATGGGGTTGTCAGCATCTTGCAAGGAAGGATCTCTAGAGCCAGTTGGGCAGTAGGGCAGACGAAGTCCTCAGTCCAGCAGAGCAAAGCTTCTGATAGCCAATGCCAAGGGAAATCAGTATGGCATGGTGCAGCACTCTGGTGTGTGGAGCTCATTGTGGGTCTTTTGATAAATGCCTTGGCACCCCTAATGCAAGTGAGGAATTTCCCCAGGAGCCTATCTGTGGGTGGTTTCACTCTGCAAACACATCTGTTCTAATCACATGTGCAGATATCTTAAGTGTGTCTCCTTGCCAGACGTGTCCCTCTGACTTAGGTAGTTTCCCTCTTGAACCAAAGTGTCATGGCAGACTGGCAGCCATTTTGGTTGATGTGTGTGACTCCACTTTGTTTTATATACTTTATGGTATTGTGATCGGACTAATGTCATTTTATTGGTCCTGCTCTCCACATTATTTCTCTTTTTCATTTTTTTTACCATACATAGAAACAAAGTTTGACTCCCACAGTGATAAGAATATTTACTTAAAAATCTTTCATTAGTAAACAATACCCAGAGAATGAGATTAAGTAATTTTATAAGAAGAATATTTAAGGTTTGGTACAATAAACTGATATGAATTTCTGGAATTATTTGAATAGAGGCTATAGTGGGATAAGTAATATAAATAGTATCTAGAATTTCAAATATCTTGGCTATAGACTATAGAAGAAAACAAAATTCAGGGATGTAGGATTTCTTTGAAAAATCAAAATTTAAACTGTAATAGCTTCTTCTTCATTTGCATAAGCAAAAATGTGTACCAATTCTACATAAATTGTATACTAATACTTTTAAAAAATTTAAAATTTTAAATGTAACTTCTAGCAGTCTAAGGCAACTACTTTTGGAGTTAAATACAGTAAGACTTTATTGTTTTATCCAAATTAGAAATATGTTATTTTTATATCTTAAAAATACAAAAGTAAGCTTTCAAAGGTTATTAAAACAGAAAATCTTTTAGGTAAACTCTGAGATTATTATATATATGATAGAGGATCTTAAATCTTAACTTATTCTGTTGATTTAGACAGAATTTAGCCCCTAAGCTCATTAACAAATTAAAAATTCCTTTTGAATAAGTAAGTTATCCTTCTGAGAAATGACTGACTGTCCTTAAAAGGCAAATAATAGAGTTACTATAACTGCCAGACACAATTTTTGCTTCCAAATAGGTTCCTAACACCTGAATTGACTGCATTCCTGTAAATAAGCTCCCACATCTCAGAACATATTTCTATATAGGGAAATTCTACTATTTTCCTGAACCCATATGTAACTTACATTTTAGTTTTTAATTGTCCTATAATTAGTACAGCTAGTAAGAACCTAACAACCACATGTAATAAATAACTGTTTTTTTTTTGTCATGGTAGACTTTATAAAAAAAGTTCAAAATTTCAGGGTTTCTAAAAAACAAATTTTATTTTCCTCTCACATGACAGCAATGAGATTGTATGTTGGTTGGGTGATGCACTTGACAGCTTTCCTGCAAATGGAGAAACAGGGACTCAACTTCCCTCCAAGATACGTTTTTGTCCTTACCTATGGCTTCTTTATTTAGATAGAAATGAAGAAAGAAGGGAAAAGTTCACACATGGAAAAGACTTAAGCTTATTTTATTCCTGTCACTAACTTCACATCTGTCAGAACTCCACCATATGGTTCCATCAAATTGTAAAGTATGTTGAGGAATCTATTCTTGTTGACATAACACTCTGTGACTACTCTTTGTTCTAGGGTATTTGCTTTCGATCATAAATTTTATTTTATTGTATTGTATTGTATTGTATTGTATTTTGTTTTATTTTACATTTTCTGATCCAGTGTTGAAAGAAAGGGCAAAAAGATAAGGAAGGAAAGAAGATAAAGAAGAAAAACATGGAGGGAGGAAGGGATAGAGATAGGAAAGGAGGAAGAAAAAGAGAATAATTTTTTTAAAGATTTTATTTGTTTATCTTTAGAGAGGGAAGGGAAGGAGAAAGAGAGAGAGAGAGAAATAACAATGTGCTGTTGCTGGGGGTCATGGCCTGCAACCCAGGCATGTACCCTGACTGGGAATCGAACCTGCGACACTTTGGTTTGCAGCCCACGCTCAATCCACCGAGCTACGCCAGCCAGGCAATGAAAAAGAGAATAATTTTACCAGTATCACATACAGTGTTCTAGAGGTTTTTGTCATGTATTTGTACTACTAAAATAAAAACAAACAAATTAACAAACAAAACAAAAAATAATTCTATGTAACTCCTGTCTCTCTTTCTACTCAGGACCAATAAGAAGAGTAAAAGTTACACAAAAACTGTGATCATCCCTTTTATAATGAAATTAGGTGATTTTGTGTGTGTGTGTGTGTGTGTGTGAAGACACAAACAAGATTCCTCTACATGTTTAAGGAAAATTTAAACATTTGATCCCAGACACCTATAATGAGTTAGAGATATATGGTTGTAACTGCCAATGTTAACTGATTGCTCACAGATGGAAATAAGACAGATGTCTGATTTAATATATGCTGCAGAGCATAAATTACTGGGCTCAAAGAATGGTTTGTAAGATTGCTAATTCACTGTGATATTTCATAGTAGTCTAGATTTATTCTTCTCTTGAAACATGAAGGATCCAGCAAATCTGGACATGTTTTTCCATATGGTAATATTCACTAGGGATGAGTTAGTAGTTGACCTCTTTAGATGAGTTGTAGGCTCTCTGATTTGTCACAGTTCCACATCTCCCTAGTATTTCATAATTTTGGCTACTTCACTCATTTAGGTTACCTGAATTTAGGTCTGGTCTCTGAAGACACTGAGTTTGTGACTCCTGATAGGGCATCTATGAGTCACTGTATGAAGACAACTTAGAACCTATATTTAAAATACTTGCAGTATGAAATTATTCCCTAGTATAAATTATGTTCAGATATGTGGTTTTAAATATACCTAATCCAGAGTATTTGATTCATGGTTCTGGTACACATGCATTTACACAACTTGAATTTTGTCGAATGTATATTCAGGATAATGTGTGATTTGACTTTACATTTTTATATCCATATTGAGTAACAGAAAAGAACACATGTTCTGGAGTCAGACAGTCTGAGCTAATAGGTTCCATGTTGTTAAATGTCTCTTTGGCTTTTTACTTTTGTTATTTAAAATTCAGTAATAGCCATAAGTACCTGATATAGTGGTTGTTAGAATTAAATGAGTTACAATCTATGGAGTATTGAAGATAAAAGTAAACTGTATACTGTAAGCAGGGAATAAATGCTTTTATTTTTATTCTATTTTTCTAAATGAGAACAAAGAAAAACTCTATATATTTTAAATGAATAGGGTGAATTCATCAAGAGCTGTTTTAAAATTCATTTTACCCCATAGGTAAATGTATATTTATATGTATGCATGTGTGTGTGTATGTATATGTATGTGTATATATATGTATATATCAACACAGACAAAATTGGCTAAAGCAAACACAAATACTGTATATAATAATTTTATGGAATGAATTATTCTGACTAGCCATATTACAGATTCTTAATCACAATGAATAAATGATTTCTTGAGATTTATAAAATCTAGAGTCTGCATTTTTCATTTTCCTGAGTCTTCTTAAATAACCCAACAACAAACAAAAACACCTTATTTTATGTCCTAGTGAATAATCAAGAAAGCAAAGCAAACAAACACACAATCAACAACAGTTGAAATCACTTAGGATTCTGTAACTTCCAAGTAAACAACTAATGGTCTGTCATTCTCAACATGTCCCAACATCTAGTGAAAATTATGTGACTAAAAATAATTTATCACTAAATTTTTAAAAATGGGAAACTACTGTGTAAAATGCATAGTAGAGAAGAGATAACAATGTTTTTAATTATAGAAATATTAATGAGTAAAAGCCAAACAATTTTTTTTCATCTTTCAGGTCTCTGTTGTCAATCAGCTGGACATGCAAGTCATTGTTTCTAATGTGCCTCCCACTCTGGTGGAAAAAAAGATAGAAGAGCTTACAGAGTAATGTACTTTTGTTTACTTATACATGTACTTTCATGCAGCTATTAGATTAGGTCATTTTCATTATTATAATGTTCATATTAAATATATATTTAACACACTGTCATAATAATTTAGCTTACTGTTTTCCTGAAATAAGCATTTTATTTGAAATATGTGAAGATTCTGAGAGTGCTTTCAAATAGAAATGAAAATTAGATGTGAGAAGATCTTATTCTTTCAGGATGCTTTGATTGATGCATCAACATAATCTCAACTGCAGCATATAAGAAATAAGTCATAACTTTAATTATTCGAGTACATAGCTTGATTTTGTGGTTCCAAATTATTCAAATAGCTCAATATCTAAGCAATCCAGCTAGTGCAGGGAATGCTATTTCTCAGAGTGATATATCTAGATAGCTAAAGCTTATTTTTCAAAAACCAAGTGACTAGTTCTAAAAGATATATATATTTAATTATTCTAAAATATATATCATGCCCTTCTGCCTTTGAACAGTACACACTGAACTAACATTATTGTTGACTCAAAATTGTAATTATTTATTAAGCTGAAGCTCTTTAATATTCTGAATGCTATTAAGGGTTATTAAAATGTCTTTCCTATTTCACTCTTATCTACCCTAACCTAATTTGCCATCATTTCATGATTTTTATATTGGTATTTATTTATTATTGTGTCTTCTATTGAGTTTAGGTTGACAGATGTCAATTATCACTGTTAATTTTCCTCTCTCTAATAAAATATCTCCCCCTTGTAAGTTGCCAGAAGAAGCTTGAGTTAGATAGCTGAACTTTTAGTAATTATGTTTCAAATAAAATACAATGGATGTTGATTAAGGTATAAGTGATTCCCTTTTAATGAAGCACATGTTATATAACAATTATTTTTTAATATTTTATAAAATTGAAACTTTGGATATCACATAAAATGTCCTATGAATGCCATGGCCAGTATGGGTAGGCTGGTTTGAACATCATTCTCTAACCAAAGGGTTCTGGTTTGATTCCTGGCCAGAGGACATAACTAGATTGTGGGTTCCATGCCATTTGGGGTGTGTACAGAAGGCAATTAATCAATGCTCTGTCTCATATTAATATTTCTCTCTTTCCCTTCTCCTGTCCCTTTCTCTGTCTCTAAAAGAAATAATGAGAAAATGTCTGTGGGTGAGGATTTTTAAAAATGTCCTATGTGATTATCAACATTTATGCATGGTAATATCAATAACAGTGTCTTGTTTTCCTCTGAAGATGTGGTTTATATATACTTTATCTTTATCAAATAATAGCTGAACACACCCTTAAGTTTTAGAATTATGCTTGTTTTTTAGCTGTTTTAATGTCATATATTGGGGTAGGCTTTCTCTGATTACACTATCCAAAACGAGAATATTTTCTTCAACCTCTAATGCAGCAATTTTCATTCAGTGTGCCACAAGAATTTTTAAAACATGCAATACCAGACTATTTAGTCAGGATCACTGACCTTCCCCTTAGATTGTGAAAAAAAAAAAAAATGACAAGAGCCAATACAGCAATAGCTGTTTGGTGTAACTGAATCAAAATTATACCTATTTTTGTCCGATCAGCTATATATATATATATGTTTTGGTGTGCCATAGAATTTTAGTAATTAGTTTATATGTGTCATGAGATGAAAAAGGTTAAAAATCGCTGTTCTCACCCTTCATTCTCAATTTTTCAAAGTATTACCTAATATTTTTATTATATTTCAATTTCCCACTGGAATATGAACTCCATGAGGCTAAGTAATCTATTTTTCACTACTATAATTCCAGTTATATAATAAACAGTCAGTGCATTTTACAGAATAAAAATTTTGTACAAGCAAAATCATAATGCCCCTTTCAACATTGAGATAATTTATAAAAACTGAAAATGGCAACATAAAAGTATAATTTCATAACAATTTATATGATTTATTTCTTTTAAGTAGATATAAAGATAGGAATGAGAAAAATCAGGCAACTTTCATGTCTTGAGACCCTTTTTATAAGATCCTTGACTTCACATAACATTTGTTTTGAAACATGAGTTTGGGCATATAATTTAATGTTTCCCAGATTCAGTTTCACCATATTAATAAGAGTTAATAAAACTTATAGGACTGTGTTGAGGACTAAATGATATCAGCTGCCTCAGACAATGGAAACCCATGAACATTTAATGAATAATAGATATTATATAAAAATGAAGTTAGCAGCCCAAAGTTATTAGGGTAAGAGAGAGGCCAGAGTTTTGCACTTTCTACTCAAAGAGCAGGTGCAGTAGTAATGGAACTCAGATTATGGCTTCAGACACACAAGTTGGAATCCTATTATAGCTATGTGATTTCTGAGCAAGTTATTTAACACATAAGGCCGCACTTTCTCATCTTGGATATTGAAATAAGGATGTGAAGCTTTTGTTGCTTTTAATATAATTAAATTTAAATTTTCTGGTGAAGTAAGCATGTCAAGCACAAAACTGATTTCTTTCGGTACATTTTTAAAAACTTCAATTACATTAGAGGTTCTTAAACTCGAAATAATGTAAGAGAAGTACTATTTCATACAGGATGATAGAGGAAAACCTTTCTATTAAGCTGAAATCTGAGCAGAAACCTGAAGGAGATGAGGGAGAAAGTCATGTGGTGATGTGCGTGTATGTGTAATGGGGTGATGGGCTGGAGGAAGTGATCTCCCAGAGAGAAAACTGCAGATGTGGAAATGCCAGCGTTAGGAGCATGCTTGTGACATCAAGAATATAGGTATCAAGGTGGGGAATGAGTTACTTAATACATTTTAGGCCCCTGAAAGATTTAACATTTTGTGTAAGAAGGTCCTTATAACTATATGTCTAATATAGTAGTCACTAGTCCCATGTGGTTATTGAGTGCTTGAAAAATAGCAGGTTCAGATGAAAGATGTTCTAAGTACAGTGTAAAATATGCACCAGCTTGCTAAGACAACGCAAAAAAAGTAAAATATCTCATTAATATTTTATACAGATTACATATTGAAGTGATCATTTTGGATATAACGAGTTGAATATATTAAACTTAACATGACCATTTTGTTTTTAATGTAAGTATTAGGAAATTTGAATTTACAAATGTAACTTGCATTGTATTTATTTTGAACAGTGTGGCCTTAGACATTTTGCACAGCGAGACACCACTGTGGCTTGCATTTTGTAAGGGTGTTGAGTTGGAGATTAGGTGACCAGGTATGAGTCTGTAGCAATAGTCCAGGACAGAGATCATTGTGGTTTGGGCTGGTGGTAGGGAGGAGTGATTAGATAGGAAGGAGTGATTAGACTAAGGGTATATATTTTTAAGGTACACCTACAAAATTTATTATGGGGATGTATGAGAATAGGTAAGAAACAATAATGACTCAGGCTTGTGTCTAAGCAAATGGACAAAATAAAAGTAGTTACTTCATTTAGCCACTGAAGAATTTGATAAGATTATGCCTATGAAAATAATAGCATTCTGTTCATGGAAAAGACTGACTTTATTTAGGAGTAAATGGTTCATATCAGATGCCCTGTCATCTGCCTCTCACACCATCATCTGCTGATTTCCCAGTTTGACAATGAAATCAAACTTCATTATTTTCTCCCCACAGCCACTTTCTTACCCATACATTAGGTTATTTCCTTTCATCTATTTATTCCACATGAACTGAGCACATTACACACATCAGGTATGACACTAGACTATCAAAACAGTGAAAACCTTTAAAAAATATATAAGCCTACCTGGAACATAGAAAATATATTATTGTACTTGAGAGTTTCTTTAATTGGGTAGTTTTTATTATCTGATGTGTTCTAAATTAAATTGCTATAAATGTTGCTAATCATATGCCAATTTTCTTTAAATGTACTTAACACAAAGATGTAGTTGAACAAGTTACCAATAGAAACTAGCCGTAAGTGACCTAATTTCTATCAGATAATGAAACACTTTCATTTTTATAGTACAACTTTTGAAAATATCAATTTTTTTGTAATTGACAAATAGCTGTACAATAAATTGAAACTATTCAAAAATAAAACACTGACTCAATACAAGGTGTGCCAACAGTAGGTTCACAGTTGTGAGTATGCAAAATGCTTTATCCTTCTACTATTATGTATTAATTATCATATTATTTTCCATACCCACAGCTATAAGCCTACTTTTGCCCCACTTTTATAAAATAAAATCCTACTTTTTTAATATTTAAGTATAATTTATGAGTTGTTTAAAAAGATAAATGTGATTTGGTGTTATTCCAAGGTTTGGTGATTTGTTATTTTGACACAAAGGGAATTCATCTGTTGTTGTTCTGAAATTCTACTTTGGGGATTTATTTCGGTGAAGAAGGAGAAGTAAATTGCCCTCTTCACAAGAAAAATACTAATTTTCATTTCATTATGTTCTTGTTACTAAGAAGTAATAATTTTATACCAAGTACCAGTACATTGTCTCTTAGCATTATTTTAACTTATGATTTGAGCCACATATTTTATATTTTTAAAGATTTTATGTATTTATTTTTAGAGAGAGGGGAAGGGACAGAGAAAGAGATGGAGAGAAACTCAGTGTGTGGTTGCCTCTTGTATACCTCCTACTGGGGACCTGGCCACAGCCCAGGCATGTGCCTTGTCTGGGAATCCAACTGGCCGTCCTTTGATTTTCAGGCCTGCACTCAATCCACTGAGCTACACTAGCCAGGGCATGTGCCACATATTTTAGAATAATTTGAATAAATGCTTATACGTATCTGATAGAGAAAGGATTAATTTATACAGGTATAGTCTATCCTGTGATTTGGGGTAAGTAGTTATTCATATTATGAAGTAAAATTCATTAATAAAAACAATTAAATTGTCCTGGCTGGTGTAGCTCAGTGGATTGAACATGGGCTGTGAACCAAAGGGTCGCTAGTTCAATTCCCAGTCAGGGCACATGCCTGGGTTGCAGGCCAGGTCCCCAGTGGGGGGCACAT